TATTCAATATTTTTTAATGTCAGCTGTTGATAGCAGGGGATCTACTACTGTCTGATTCCAGAAATGTTATTCAAAAACGCATTCAAAACCCAAATTACACAAACTGGCCAATGGGGATTGTAGAGTACGAATACGAACGAAGGTTCTACACTCTTGGAGAGCAATATTTTGCATAACTGTGACAAATTAAATAACGACTATATCAAATATTACCGTGATCTAATCTTTTTGTGAACATTAGGGCTATCTCTACGCATTTATACGTGATAGAGACTTGCTGCAGCTATATTAACACGAATAGGTCGTAGCACGAATGGATCGGCTCGACCTGGGAAGGACCACGCTTTTACAGAATACCAGCGTAAAATAGCAGCTTAACACTGTTGTGTTTCGTGTGGTGTGTGTAGAGAACCGGAGACCCTTTTTACTGGAAAAGAAACATTCTATCTTAGTCCTCACGGCTGACAGCGCATCTGCATTTTAATTCGCAAACGAAGATAGATGCAGATGTCTATGGACTACAGCAACCACTTACCATCAGGTGGACTGTGTGCTTGTTTGTCAACCTTACCTGTATTCTATAAAAAAACTTCTGTCTTAATATTTTTTTTCTTTTTGTCACGAACAAAAATAATAAATTTGTCAATGAATAAAATTATTTATATTAAATATTTATTCTGGTTAATTGTCTTATTATTTATTTATTTAGATTGATTTATATGTACATTATATATTTATTAACAAACTTGAACGTGTCAATTACCTAAAATACCAAGCACGCGACATCCATAACTGTGACTATATTAAACAAAAGACAATCCATTAAACAAGGAAGTGATAAAAAACAACAATTTGACACGAGCCGCGCCGTTTAAACAAATCCGTAAAAAATACGTCAATAACAAGTCACATTTACATAATAAACCCCCTAAACAAACCAGGTATGACATTGTACACAGAGCGGTCGAATCACGTACTTTTTTTACCGCGATATTAATTTTATACTCCGGTTTCAAGTCACCCCTGCATATAAGTACGGCCTACTTTCTTTTACAAAGAAACTGAGGAAAAAATAATAATAATAATAAGAGCGGACGGAACGTAAGGGCGTCTGTGCCGTGCTTATGTGAAATTAGCTTGCGAACGGCTTTGATGTGCCGACCAATTGTGCGAGCCGCGGTATGAAAGCGCCTTTATAATTCTTAGGCGATGTCGCGTCGCCTTATTTATTGGGTAATTAAAAAGGCATATGGCCTTTATATACTTGCATAGCTGATTATATTTTGAATGTAGGTACGTTGCTGCATTAACTATAACAGCAGTAAAAAAATGTTACTCCTTTATAAAATTAGACTCACAGTGAGCTTAGAGCAGCGTCTTTATCCGCTAAGATGGAATGCGCTCAGTGGAAAATTAAAAATACTATTATTTTTAGATATATCGTCGTCGAGTCGTGGTAGCTCAGGGTAAATTTTACAGTACTCGAGCAACCCGGGTTCGATCCCTGCCGGCACCAATAAAATTGTTAATAGTAACTTTAGGTGCTGATTCAAAGGATCGAAGGTGAAGGAAAACATCGGGAGGTAACCTGCATATCTGAGAAATAAGAAAAAAAGTATTTTGAAAATTAGTAAAGTTCGCCAAAACGCATAGGGACACCGCGGCGAACATTTCCTTGTCTTAAAGCCCTCTCAGAAATGAGAGGACGCCGGTGCCCAGCGGTGGGACGTATATAGACTGTAATTTTAACTTTTTAACTTAATATATATGTGAAATAAAAAATCAAAGTTCTACTTGAAGCCTTTCCATAATATTTATACTATACGTAATTCTATGTAGATGCCCTAGAACTAAACAGCTAATGTAAAAAAAAATTGACTATCACTACTAAGCAGAAAAATGAATTGTGTCCCCCTAATAATAAGAAAACGCAACGGTGGTAGATGCTAATTATACTTCGAAATAAAACATGGTGTGGTATTAGTTTAGTTCCGTCACCTCGAATCAGTTGAGACTCAGTAACTCATTTAATCGGCGGCTAATTAACTGCTCCATGGCGCAGTGACTTAGAAATTAGTTGCACTGCTAAGGGCCACGAGTTGAAATCCCGCACAGAACAAGTACATATATATGGCCTCCAAATCATTGTTCAGGAAAAAACCTAGTGTGGAAGGAACGTTTAAAATTAGAAACAAGAATCGTTCTGGAGTAGTAAACAATTTTTATTTTACTCGATTTATTGCTAGATTAGTACGAATCGCTGCATATATTTGTAATGCACTGTTTCTATAGTTCAAAATTTATCTCCAAGCTTAACATCAATCGGGAAGTAATCATCTGTGATAATGGTGACAACCATTAAAACACAATGTCTTGTTATTGTTATGGAACATTTATTGTAAGCTGGGTTGATAGCTTCTAAAAGCCTATGCCACAGAATCAATGGACATAACTTTCGTAGAACTTCCATGTACTTTATTCGCCCATATTATACTCCTCACATATTACTCTTAGCTACTTGTCATGAGCGTAAGTATTTTCCATGTTGCATCTTTGAGGTGAATACGTCATATCGGCTTAATGAACTATATCTCGTTAAAAAAGACGTAATTCAGTTACATGAATATGCAAAGTAAGTATTCTTAAAAATAATTTTAAAATAAATTGAATACATGGCGTATCATCATCACTCGACATTTTTGTCTAGAACAATGTTGAGAAACGAACGCTGTCCACCTGATGGTAAATAGATGCTGTGGTCCATAGACATCTATCCTCAGTTAAGAATTACAGTGCAGATACGTTGCTACAAAAAGGAGATATAAAGGATTTATTTAGGGCACCACATATACATAATCATAATACATAATTGCGAATGACCCCAAATAACTAGGCCGAATAATTTGACAGCGAACAATTAACTTTAAGTCAAAGCAAATATAGCATCTGTCTTACAAGGGCTAACTTAGCTGTCAAAACAAAAATAAATATAATATAGTATAATAGCCCATTCAAAAACAAGAACCGCAAAGAAAGAAAGACAGTTATTATCCCTTTTGTCCATTGAAAGATAAGTGGTCAATCCTACAACTGACACCTTACTCTGTAAGACCGTGACTGCTACAACGGGTTTTTTGTATATAAATGGCTACAACGCATTATTAAATGTAATTTCACACTAAAGGATTCAGAGGAAGTGTCCCTGTCCATATGTCGTTTCGTTTTGTTGGACAAGTGTTAAAAACATTTGAGTTAATTACAATTTGGATATTCTTATGTTCAGATTTTCAAGCTGTAAACACTCTATGAGTTAATTTAATTGAAATGAAAATGAAATGACTCTCATTTACGACGTAAGAAATTAAAATTTTGTTTTAATTGTGAATTTTTAAACTGATGCAATAATGTTACTATTAGCTTATATTTTAGATAAATAATAACTTAATTGCTAACACTGATTACTCTATCATTACCGTGTTATTCCATTAGTAAAATCCTTTTCTATTTTTTTAAATATTTTAAAGATAATTTACCTCTCATTTACTTTCTTCTTATTTAAGCTCTGCCCGCAATTCCATGCGAAAGAACCTTTAAATTTTTGCAAAAGCTAAAATGTTTTAAAGTATTAAGATATAGGTATGTATTATGTAACAGTAAAACAAATTCTAAAGAGCTACTTCCGGCCAGTAAGGCATTCAGACACATTCATTATGCTCATCATCATTACAGCCCATCACAAGTCCACTGCTGAACATGGGCCTTCCCCAAGTACTTCCTGCATCTCGCAACACGTCGTCACCACGCCTTGGCACTCGAGAAACTCTTTAAAATTTCATTACCTTGTATATTATTAAAAATGCAAATTTTTTCTAAAGTATCGAACATGTCTGCAATAGGTATAACTTTATCTGAATTTAACGTTAATATAGAAATATCGTTTTAAGGCTAATGCTAGTAAGGATGTGTTTTTATAACTATATATATATAGTTAAAATATTCTAGCGGAATATATATATATATATATATATATTCCACTAGCATATTGCAACATACATATTTAAATTCCTTTTCCTCATTAAATTAAATTTGCATCGGGACAATTTTGTTAGTATTACTTTTATTTTAAAGATTTACCTTTCATCTCTATTACCATTATAATCAAATAATAGAATTAAATGAAACTGTTTATTGTGTTTTTTATAATAATTTTTACGTTACATTACGGCTCTACTAGCCATGCTGCAGCTATATTGTGGTTGCATCACGAATGGGTCAGCTTGTCCGGGGTGGGACCACGCTTTCACAGAATACCAGCGTAAAATAGCAGCTTAATGCTGCTGTGTTTCGTATGGTCAGTATAGAGAACCGAAAGTTTTTACTGGAAACAAGGCATTCCATCTCAGTCCTTAGGGGTGACAACACATCTGTATTTTGATTGTTAATTGAAGATAATGTAGATGTCTGCATCCACTTACCATCCGGTGGACTGAAGGCTTATTTGTCGCCCTTATTCTATAAAAAAAAACAGATTAATGATTGAAAACATGCTTTTCTATTTAGAAACTTTCCTATGAACAAAGAAACGATTTTTAGTTAATTGATTTTAAATTTACTGTGCAATTGTGTAACTTGTTGTGTAACTCTGATTGTAACTCTGATGGGAATCGTGGTTGGCTTCGTTTTGACGTTTGATGTTTTTTTTTATATAATATAATGTATTATGTAAATGTGTCCACCGATTCTTGGTTATCCGATGGTAAAAAGGGGAAAGAGGAATTAAAGTACGTACACTCTCCTGCATGCACTCTCCAAAATGCATCCTATAGAAAACCGGAAGAGGAAGACTGGCTACTCTGCGCCTGTACTCCAGGCTGACAAGATTAGTTTGAACCAAATCAAGTTTATAAGGAATTAATAATAATTCTAGAATTCGGCTTCAAATCACAAATATTAATTATCAACAGATACCTGCCATGTTTTAAATATCTTATTTTCAACAGCGGATGCGGACAGCGCGGCTGAGGGTGGCGGGTCACCCACTCCGGGTGTCCCCGCGGATACCCTCACTTGCGGGGCTTGCCGCCGAGCCTTCGCCCTCGCCGACATAGTGCGCTTCATCCAGCACAAGGTCTCTTCTTGTGATAAGGATTTAACTTCATACCACTGCTATAGTGCAGGTAAGTAAGTTATCTGATACGAAAAATTTAATTTTAGGAAAACAACATTCATAACGTTTCCATAAAAAAGTGCTAAATTCATGCTTATAATCCTACTTCTTAAAATAGATATTCGATGCTGGATTTTTCGTGCTAAAAATTAATTTTGACAGTTTTTTTTTTGACAGACAGACAAGTTTTAACAGTTTTGCAATTTTTATATTTCCACTTTTTTGTAATTCAAGATATCATATTCATCATCATTTTTGTCCTAGGACCCAACTCTGACCAAGAAGATGGTTCAAGATCGGGACAAGTAGCGACTGGAAATACTAGCGGACGTAGACCCTCTTTGCTAACTGCCAGAAGACCACCAAATAGCAGAGTGCACACACCACCACTCGCTAGTCCATCAATAGCGCCCCCCGATCTCCTCGAGGATGGAGGGGCATCAAGCACGCCCAAACGACTGTTAGATGGTAAGAAAAATAAATGTAATCGCAAATATACATGGTTATTTTTCAAAGAGTAGCCAAATTTTAAACTTAAGTTCAAATATATAAATAAATATATACCGTTATTGCAGTATAAGGCTTCTACTTTTATTTGAAATTATCCCAAATTGAATTTGATTTATGGGCAACAATGTTTTTGCCTACCAATCGAGCCTTACGAATATTTGCGTGCGCAGTAAAATCACTTTAAATAATGCATTGCCACGCATTTTTAATTTATAAGATAAAAAGTACAGAATATTTGAGATTTTTTTAATACATTTTTCTTCACCATTTGCCTATACTACTTATTTTGAATCTTCTCTGCAAAGTTGGCAGGTTATTGAAAAATCAGCCTGTAGGTATATTGGGATAAAAACTAAATGAGTAACATAACATATTAATACTATATGTGTCTGATAAGGTGTAATAACGCATAATGAAATTCGGTCTCAGTTTCTATTTCCTATGGTTTATTTCTTTCTGTTAATAAAACATTCATCATTTTCAACACATAAGACAAACATATTCATAATTTGTGTTAGTGGAGAGACAGAGCGAAACTAAAACAGGAGATTAGCAGCATCATCTTTCTGATAACAATTTAAAAATAATAAAAAACTGCAGTTACCAACCCGCCTGCTTAGTGGGTAGTACTTGTAAGAATCGCAAAATTCACCCTATTTTCCCCATCATTATTATAGTGCTAGGACATTGACTATAAGCCTATGGTCAGCAGTAGACTTTTAAAAATTAGCCTTAAGTATGTAGTTAAACTAAATTTATATTATCAAAAACACGACGTAAATAATATAAAGTTGATGTATTTTACGTTTAGAAGCTGACGCGGAAGCTTCAACACCTAAAAGGAGAGCTTCCACATCACCTATGCCATCAAGTTCTCCAGATGAAGACATCAAACCTAAGATCAAACAAGAGCACATGGACACCTCAGGATCACCTGAAGACCAAAAGAAATCAAGGACTGAAGTAGCTGATGCGGAATCGAATACAATGCACAGTGGTAAGTTATTGTTTAATGTTTTAATATTACTGGGTGCAAAAGGAAAGTTTTCAAAGCAAAATAACGAAGATGGAAAAGCGTTTAAAAAAATATTGAACAATTATATTGAATATAAGTACAAACACGTGAAACACAATAATATTAATTTATATTTTTAGAGATTCCAGCGTTTCTTCCAACAAACGTATTATTATGTTTTCTTTTAGGATAATGAGATTAGATAAATATTTTCTACGATATAATTTATATTTACCACTGCCACGTTTTGTTTCATAAATTAAGTGTTTAAAAATAGAATCTATATTTTTTTTATAGAAAAAGTATGACAAATGAGTACACAGTCCACATGATGGTAAATGGATACTGCGGCCCATAGACATCAACATTTAATCCTCGATTAAGAATCAAAATGCTAAGATGCGTTGGTCTTCCCTGAGGACTAAGATGTGATGCCTCGTTTTCAGTAAAAAGGGTCTCCGGTTCTCTACACTCACCACACGAAACACAGCTGCTATTTGACGCTGGTATTCTGTGAGAGAATGGTCCATGCCCGGTCGAGCCGACCTATTCATGCTATAACCATAACTGCAGCGTGGCTCTACCATGTAAAGCCTCTCTGCAGTTCTATTAAAAATTACTTTTAAATGTGTAATTTTAATTTGGAGCTTTTATTAATTAAATTAGATACTTTTAAAATTACTAAAATTGCCCAGTTACATTGCTGTTATTAGACGAAGCCGCTATAAAAAATGAAAAGACATAGTCTTTTACATTGTTCATGAAAAAAAATTAGTCTAGTTTTTAGGAGGAAACAGGAAAACGAGATAATGACTCTATCACTTTTTCGTATTTATAATCTGTTCTAACTGCACTTCGCTCCCTCGGTGTTACCTTGCTTTGTCGTTCATGCATAGCATAGCGCAGATACAGAAACAGAAACTTTTTTATTCAATATAGATTAAAAATAATACTTATTTAAGTCACTCTTTTGTTTAATTACCACTGGTTCGAAGAAAAAAACTTCTGCCCTCGGAAGAACCAGCAAGAAACCCAGCGGGAGCGCCAACAATAATTGATCGTTTAAGATTTATTCTTCAAATTTCTTGCAGTTTGCATATCCTCTAATAAGCCGGAATATCCAATATTAAATATTTAATACAAAACCAAAGGCATTAAATTAAATCGAAACATAGAAAACAAAGAATTTGAAACTTCACATCATCACACCCAAAGGGTGTGGTATTTAGTAATTTATTAATGATTCCTGCGATCTGGTTGACAGCAAGAAAAGATTTGGGCTTTGTAGACAATTTTATCGTCACGCTTCATTTCCTTTGTCTCGCGCAAGATGTTGTACAATAACAATACTGGACGTTCGTGGAATGCTTACGTCATCCTTCATCCATACATTTTGGACTGAAGCCTAATCTCGTCACTTTAGAAAAGGCGCATTTTGTACATCGTGTTTCAAATTCAGAATTTTATTAAAATTTGTCGTTTCATACAAAATAAATGAAAATTTTGTTGCCATATTTGAAGAATATAATAAAAGTAATTGTCGAATAACTATTTATATACAATTTAATTAGCTAAATCAAACAAAACCATTAAATATTTGTATTTTAATATTGTTCGAGGTCTTTACAGGCTAATATTTTATAAATTTTAATTATAAATTTCACAACAATATGAAACTAAAAATTGACTTGGTACATCTGTATAAGCGAGCAATCTTGCGGGGGTGGTTCGAAAAATAATCTATCCGCGAGCGTAACCCTTTGTGAGAGCAGATGTGCCGTCATTTGACACTTTTGTATTAAACCGTTGCACAACAAAAGCCTCCTTAAACCCGAAAATCGTGCACCGTTCATAATTTTAACCCGCATTTTGTCAACTGCTTTGTAGAAGAATCGTCCGTTAAAGTTGCACTTAATGCAAAATTAACAGAAATAATGTTTCTCCTTTAAAAATTCTCGTGGTTTTCCTTTCTTTCTATTCCCAATAACAGTTATTGTAAAGTTTTCGGTAGTATCAAATATAACTTTAAATTGTACTGTTGTTTCGTTATACTATTGCGCTATCATCGAAATGTCAATTGCAGGTTTTGCTTCAACACCAGTTGTCTCGGCTTATTGAGTTTATCCTAAACGTTCATATTAACCCCTTCGAGTGAGCTGTCAAGTCAGCTTTGTTCAATAAAAGGGTTCTGCTGTAATAAAATATCACAATATATTAAATTGATAAACAGAAACAATGCAATTTTTACTATAAATCTACTAAACTTGCTGTATTGTCAAATAAAAATATTTTTCTATTGGTGACAGTTAAGTTTGACCCCGTGCCAAGTTATAGGGGAATTTAATTTTAATTGTATTATTTTGTACATATTAATTAACCCCATCGCTCTCCGTACAGATAAAGGGGATGCTTTGGAAAAAAAATTATTTGCATGAGCACACGATTGACGTGCGCGCATTATTGTCTTCTGCCTTTTGTGATGACCCTTATGTTAACCATCACGATGCTATTAACAAAAGAGTTCGTGTTTTGTAAAACGGTCATTGAATATTCAGCATTTTGTTTATTTGTTTAAAGCCTAATATCGAAGGACATTTCCTTGACATTAATGGCATTTCGGAAACGAGCGACTCTAATATTATAATTGTCAAAGATGCTACCGTGGCCCCATTGTTATGAGCGGTCTTTTATAATTTTTTCAAAGATAAAAAATCTTTGGCGTGTTCCTGACACGTGGTACATACTCATGCGTTTGCCGTGACCTATGGTGCTTCTTTGAGCGTGACACAATGGTCGATGATATTTTTAGTTTTTGTACAGGCGGGAAGGTGGCTAAGTGGCGGGTTTTAAATAAGTGGGATTTAATTTTAGATGTGACATCTTTTCTGTGTGAAAAGTAAGGGGAAGATTGTCTCGTGCCCATTGCTTAGCCTTTGACTACGCGGTAAATGCTTATTTTTAGAAGAAACCGATATACTTACACGAAGATTAAAGTTTAAATATCCCAGACGCTTGTTAATATTTATACGATCGTAGCAAGGAATACCATGCTATACTTTATTTCGTTGTCGTATTTATAACAAAGAGGAGGCTGGCTTAATATTGTGTCCACAAGGTGTCACTGTTACAGTCATTAACATAACAAAACGCTACAGAGCCGATGGTCGTCATTTATTTGTATCAAACTAAATATTGAAACAAGTGCACGACGAGTCCAGCGTTTGTTCGCTTTAGTTGACTTTAAAAATTAATGAAAGATTGTTGGACTTGGTAGGTGTTCTTTGTTTAAACTATGTAGATTGTACGTGGTAGAGCCATGCTGCAGCTATATTAGTAGTATAGTTGTAGCACGAGTGGGTCGGCTCAACCGAGTAAAGATCACGCTCTCACAGAATACCAGCGTAAAATAGCAGCTTAAAACTGCTGTTTAGTATGGTGAGTGTAGATAACCGGAGACCCTTTTTACTGGAAAAGAGGCATTCCATCTTAGTCCTCACGGGTGACAACGCATCTGCATTTTGATTCGCAAACGTGGATAGATATAGATGTCTATGGGCCACAGCAACCACTTACCATCAGGTGGACTGTGTGCTAGTTTGTCACCCTATCCTATAAATATTATTTTTCTTATTTGAAATAGACAGAAAATTTCAGGAATTCATTTTAATGTATATAATTTTACCAGATTTTCTTTTCATTTTATATTGAACTTTATTGGAAGACTCATTTCTTTATTTATTATTAAAAAAAAAATGTAAACAGTAATAATATCGATTATTTTAAATGACGGCTACTCTAAGGACTGCATCGATTTTACTCGTAGTAACCCTTTAACGTTGACCACTGATAAAAATTATCCTCTATACTTGAACATGCATGGTACACCGCTTCCATAAACGATCGGTCAGACGGTACCGAACAATGAAGTACTCTAGTAAAGCAGTCGCGTGAAGTAATTGACAACGCGATAGGGACCCTTTTTTCCATGAAACAAAATTTGAATAAAATTTGCTTTTTACTATTATTGTTTGTTTGTTCTCCGTTTTCGTTATCGCCATCGTAAATGATTTCTCAGCAAAGTTCCGTCCGAGATATTTCCATATCAAGACATGTTTTCTTAAGGGTCGGCCACAAAGGGCCATCTCGACGCCCAATCTTTAATCCTATCTCAGGACCTTTGCGGGCGAATTTAAATTTCTTTAGAAATATCGTCCTTATTATGTATGTGCGGGTTTTCTATTCCTCGTGACGTTCGTAGGAGATAACGTAAGTTAAGTCCAAGAGGAGATTGTTGTGAAAAAACTACTGCTAAGTTTAACGAGATCCCATCTTAGTAAGGATGCATGTTGTAAATTGATCTTCACGAAACTAGTACTTAGCGTTGCATTTCGTTTGACACCCAAAGGATTAGTAGTACCTTATTTTGTATATGAAGTGATAAGTCTTTATGAAGGGTCAACCTTTTCTATAGTGAGGCTCACCCTTTTAGTGAAAAGAGTCCGTTGATAGCTGATTTAGGAATAGTGATAATGCGTTCACTGTGGTAAATATATCTTAGATTTATTCTATTGAATATTGCTATTAAATAAAACATCGAATTAATGTTCTAATGTTATTAAAAAGTAGAAGAGCCCTGGTAGGTAAAGGGTGCTGATCATAAATTTCAAGATAGAGGAATTGCGAGTGTTGTCCTGCCGGCACTATTGAAGGCATTAATAGCAATTTTAAATGCAAATTCATCACGGTCTTGACAGTGAAGAAAAACCATTGTAAGGAAATTCGCAAGTCTGAAATACCTCGAGGTGTGAAGACGAACTGCAATAAAGTATTTATTAAATCATCTAAACACATGTCTCCCTGAAATTTTTACGTTTTCCGTAATCGGCATGCGTTGTTGCAGATTAGAACTAAATATTTTCATGTTTTCCAATCCTCTACACATACATGACGGCAGAACCACTTCTCTTTTTTCTCATTATCCC